GGGGGGGCTCCCTCTTTGGATGCCCCTAGAATTGGACCCCCTGGTCCAATCTTTTCCAAACTTGGGGGTTCTTTTAGGAAGAGGCTCCAGCAGATACAGTACAAATTTGGTGTTTCTACCTCAACCCCCTCCCCCATACTCATGAGAAGATTTTTGCCATTGAGCTGCGGTGGCTCAAGTGGTTAAGACGCTGAACTGCAGGCTGTGAAAGGTCAGTAGTTCAGCAGTTCGAGACCTGGGTGCCGCAAGACGGGGTGAGCTCCTGTCTCTAGTTCCAGCTCCTGCCAACCTAGCAGTTCGAAAGCAAGAAATTGCAAGTAGATAAATAGGGACCACTTCGGTGGGAAGGTAACAGCGTTCCCTGCGCCTTGGTGTTTAGTCATGCCGGCCACATGACCATGGAAACATCTTCGGACAGCGCTGGCTTTTCGGCTTTGAAACGGAGATGAGCACCGCAACCCTAGAGTCGGATTTGACTGGCTTTCGAGCAAGGGAACCTTTACCTTTACCTTTACAATGGCCCCATTGGATATAATGGAGCCGAATATATTCGAGGATACCGGAAAAAAATTGCCTTTATTATACCTGAATTAAAAAAAAATGATTTCCCCCCCTGCACACCCTTACCCAAAACCCCATGAATTTTGCCCATACCTAGATCCTGTCTAGGCTATATACCCTTCTCTTGCTCTGAAGTAAATTCTTTATATTCCAGAAAAGGAAAACATATTTATTTACTTACTTTGTTTATAACCTGCCTTTCTCCCCATTGTGGGTCCAAATCTGCTTATGTGGTTTTCCTTCATTTTGAATCCCTGTGAGGTGCGTTAGGCTGAGAGTATATGACAGGCCCAAGGTCACCCAGCAAGCTTACATGGTAAAGTGGAGATTCAAATCTTGGTGTCCCAGTCACTACACCATGCCAGAATGAAAAAGAATTATTTTAGCTCAGTATATATTCAAAATGCGCTAAGTAATCATGTTTGTATTGTAAAGTATTCGTCTGATCTTTCCTTTCCCACTTGCAGGATTTTTAATCAAGGGAACATTTAACGTTCTGAAAGGTTAAAGGAATGCAAATCTGAGGACCGGTGATATGTACCACTATAGTACATTGGCTCTGAATTGTCTTTGAGACTTTCATCTTCTGGACCAAAATAGGAAGGCATATAATTGAAACACTGCTCAGGATATATGCACCTGATTATGACACAAGGCAATATCATATGAGACCTCCATAATACTCCTATGCCTTATGTCACTGATTATAACTGTAAAATTCCTTTTTGGTCCTACATTGATTAATTATTGTATTATTATTGCAGTATTGAGATTAATTGTACCTTTTATGCTTGACCACTGAAGAAGGCCAACTAGGCCGAAATGCATCGGGTCGCATTAGGTTTCATTTGTGTAGATTATACAATTTTATCTTGTATTGAGTCTATAGATGTTTTTAAATTATCTTGTAATACATGTATTTTTGATAATTTTGCATTATTTATGTATTTATGCTTCACATTTATTATTTTTAGGAACTGGCCCTCAAATTTGCATTCATTTAACCTTTCTGGCTCTTGATTCATTTGTAGCATCATAAGCATCTGTTATGTACCAAAGGGGTTCATATAGCATAATCGCAGAAGAGAGCAGTGTTGGTTGCATTCTCTGCTTATTTCTCCTATCATGCTGCTCAAACTAGACAATTGATGGTGGGCCTTTTTTTGGTGATTTGTGTGTGTGTGCCTGGAAGTCATGTTTGACTTCTGGCGACCCCTAGTGGGACTTGGATGTTTCATAGAGGTGGCTTGCTATTTTCTGCCTCTGCATCCTGGCCCTGGTATTCCTTGGAGGTCTCCCATGCAAGTACTTGCCTGAATTGGCCCAGCTTAGCTTCCGAGATCTGACGAGATCGGGCTTGCCTGGGCTATCCAGCTCAGGGCGATAATTGATGGTGTTTTGATTAACGTTCATGTAACTGAAAGAATTGTATAGAATAGAACGTGTTGTTGATAACCAGCCCTAGAGTAACCCTAGTCTTTCCCTCTACCGAACAACTCTGTTTCTATTTGCTTTTCAGTTTGTTCCAGTAATCTGTGCCCAATGTTTTAATTGTTGGTTTTATGTTTTTGTAGGTATTTTTAGCTCTGGTTTTAATTGTTTTGTTGGTGTAATGGTTTTTACGATGTTATTTTATTATGTATGTTTTAATTTGTCAGCTGCCTTGGTGACCTTTAATAAGGCAGGGTATACATATTGTAAAATGAATAATCACAGCAATTCCTTGAGTTGCTCTCCTTTGGCTTTGTTCAGTTTACTTTTTATTCCTTGAAGAACCATAGCAATTTCTGCACAGAAAAATGATCAGTAGTCTTTGTAGGGTCAGAATCTCTAGAACTGACGGACTTGCTGTATTTTTTCCTTCCCGCAGGCAACTATACATCATGTCTAGTTATTTTAAAATATGCTTTTAAGGATAGCAGATAGTGTTAGGATATTGCCTGAAAAGTAAGCTATTAGAATAGTTTTGTGTTGAGGTTGAACTTTTTTTAGAGAATAACACTCAAATTTAGCTACTGCTTACTTATTGAAGCTGTTTTTACCTTTAAAGATCCTGCTGCTGGCTGCTGTCAACTTTCAGTCACGTGCCTGATCACTCAGACATGCAGGAATATCATAATGTAGCTATGTTAGAGGGATAGCTGAAGCTAGGGGGTTAAAGATCTCTTCCGGGAGCTTGTTCAACCAGTATGGAGCCGCCACTGAAAAGGCCGTGTAATAGCAAGCCTGGCATCCTTGGGGCCTGGGAGGGCCAGTCGATTTTGAGACCCCAACCATAGTGCTTTCTGGGGTTTGTATGGGGAAAGGTGGTCCCTCAGGTATGTCGGACCCTGGCCATATAGGGCTTTAAAGGTAAGAACCAGCACCTTGAAACAAATTTGGTATGCTATTGGCAGCCAGTGCAATGTCTTCAGCACAGGCTGGATGTGCACCCACCTGGGGAGGCCCATCAGAAGCCTGGCCGCAGCATTCTGCACTAGCTGCAGCTTCTGAATTTGCAACAAGAGCAGCCCCATGTAGAGATCGTTACAGTAGTCTGGTCTCAAGGTGATCATTGCATGGATCACTGTTGCCAGGTCATTGCGGTCGAGGAAGGGAACCAGCTGCCTAATCAGCCAAAGATGGTAGAGAGCCGACTTGGCAGTGACTGTTACCTGGGCTTCCATTGTTAAGGAAGCATCCAAGAGCACTCCCAAACTCCTAACCTCCGGCGCTGGCACCAGAGGTGCCCCATTGAAGGTCGGGAGTAGGATCCCTATCCCCAAACTGCCCCGGCTCAATCTAAGCCAATGAGCCACGGTTTTCAGTGCCCGGTCCAGATCTTCCAGTAGACTCCAGGTGGTACAGCAATCCATCCTTCCTCCCAGGAACATCTTGTTCCCCGGTAACACCCACTCCATTTAGGGGTGGTGGTACGGTGATGGTATAGTGACCAACAATTTAAGACCAACAAAGTTTTATTCCAGGCTTAAGCGCACACTTCTTTAGAGGGAGGGAGTGGGAGTGAAAGAGCCAGAGAAAGACAGATCCCCCTTTCCAGTTCTAACAGACCGGGGGGGGGGGGAAATCTAACAGTACAGCTTGCAGTCTTTATTAGTGGAAGGGAACAAGAGTCCAGCTGCACCTGAACAATTAACAAAATTTGTGGCAGGGCATGAGCTTTCATGAGTCACTGTTCACTTCTTCAGATACAGCCAGAGTGTGAGTCCGTCCTTATATCTTGGAAAGTGAAGCGTCAATTCAATCCATGAGGATGCATTGTCTTGAGCTTCATTATCAGTTGCAGTTCAACAGTCTTTCTTTCTAATATCCCTTTGAAATTCCTTTTTAAGAGATCTGCTACTCTTAGGTCAGCAACTGGATGTCCTGGAAGGTTTAAATGTCCCCCCACTGTTTTTTTTTAATTTTGTGGCTTCTAATAGTAGTAGAAAAAGCTATAGAAAGAGTAAGAGTCCAGTAGGACATTGAAGACTAATAAAATTTGTGGTAGGGTATGAGGTTTCATGAGTCATTGCTCACTTCTTTAGACTTATTTCCATTTAATTTTTACATCCTTCTGGACTGAATTTTCCTGGACCAAACTGAGACTTAGGTTTCCTGTCTTATTACCAATGCTGATATCTCCACACCTACCACCCCCTCTGCATATCACACCTAATCCAATCAAGCTTGCTATTGCCATTTGGCCTCTGAAATCATTTTTATAAAGTTTATATCTCCCATACCTCGTGTTACGTTTTATGGCACATAGGGCCCAGTCCGACAAAGTGACATTTATGTCAGATCTAGCCCTTGCAACAAATGAGTTTGACACCTCTGATTTAGAAGATCAGTCAAAGGGCTACCCCACGTGACACAAGTTGTTTTTGATAAGTTTCTGTTTAGGAATTGGAGAAGTTTCATAGAACATTTTGCATCCAAATAAGTACTGGTAATCTTAAATTAAAGTGAACATGAAATTATTAACCCTCAAGCTGAATCTCATTAGAGTCCAATCCTATCAAAAATTCCACTGATTTCATTGTAGAAATGTCAGTGTTTAAACTAGTACACCCAAGGTGCCCTTTTATCATTAGTTTGATCTGCAAGCAATTATCAGATGATGTCATTTAACTTCATACCATGAGAAGCTTCAACGGCCCATTTCTACTCAGATCTCTATTAAAGGGATAGGACCTTTTTATGTCCAGCTGTCAACATTTTTCAATGTGTTTTTCTTTCAGGTAATTATTTGTAGGCTTGAAGGCTTATCAATATCAGATAATGTCTTTATGGAAAGGCTGGCAACAGAATTCAAATTAAATGCCTTCAGGAAATATGGAATCAAAACAGATCATTCTGTTGTTGCTAAATATTTATGTGTTTGATACATTGAAAAGCAAGCAGGTTTTCTCATAGCATTTGATTTATTTAAATTAATAATTACTTTTTATTTTCAGGACTGCACAGTATATGAAACGGAGAACAAAATACTTCATGTGGTAAGTAGCACTGGCTAGTTCTATTAATATTCCTATGCTGCTTTGGTAATACTGCTTAATTTGGACATAATAGATCAAATTTGGAAAAGATTGAGAAATACTAGTATTTAATTTTTAAAAACTTATCTAACAGTGCAATTACAGTCAGTTGTCTTATAAGTGTATTACACTGTAAAACTTCCTTATCACATTTGCATCTGCTGTCTAAATATTGTGGCTTTTAGTTGGGCAGAAAATGGCAGGAACACTATATTTTGGCCACAAAATACTAAGATGCTCCTGTGATGCTCCAAATTTTCATCTTTATAGGAATGAAGAATTTTGCTGTAGTAATTCTTGTTAGCATCAATATATATAACAGCTGAGCACAACTGTTTCTGTGTACTTGATAAATCATTGGATATGCTGCCAAACCTTAAACTTCAGAATTTTTTGAGGGAACATGAGGTATGAGGAACTCTGTGATTTTATGAGAGTACTTTAGAAAATCTTACTGTTTGAAGAACATTCCAGCAGTAAAAATCTGTCTCTGTCAAAAGTGTAATTGTTAGATACAGTAGTAATGGTGAAACTTAACATATTGTGATTTAGCACTGACCACATTTCTAAAATTGTTCTCCTGTGCATACGTGACTAACCGTAATGGTGTTAGAACAAAGTTTGAGTCCAATGGCACCTTTAAGATCAGCAAAATTTAATTCTGGGTATAAGCTCTCATGCGCAGGCAAACGATCAGATGAAGTGTGCAGGCAAATGAACCCTTATACCCAGAATTAAACTTTGTTGGTCTCAAAGGTGCCACTGGACTCAAACTTTGTTCTGTTGCTTCAGACCGACACGGGCTACTCACCTGATTCTAACTGCATTAAAATGTTTTCCTGTCAAACATTAGTAAAAGTGAACTCAACCTCCTTCCAAATTTAAAAATCCCTAGGCCAGCATGAAATTTTTAGGGTGTTAGTGCTGCAAAGAAGGGAATATTACTTTCTAATTTCTAATCAGCATCAAATTTATAGGTAACTATTATTCTACTTTAATTTTGTATTCTAACAGGTTATGGATATCTTTATTTTAAAAATTATAAATTATTTTCAAATTGTATTTGCATCAGAGGTCATTTTGGGGGGGTTTGCGGGGGATCGCAGTTCCCCTGGGTGAGGTACGGGGGCGGGGCACATGACGAAGCCTCGCCCCCTGCTTCCGGCCGCCCCACTTCCGGCTCTCATTCAGCCAGGAGGAGGCAGGAGAAGAGGGAGGGTAAGTTGCTTCCTCCCTGCCTCTCCCCACCCATGCCTGCCTGGGGCCACGGAGGGCCTTTGCGAGGCTTCCTTGCTCTCCCACCGGCCTTGCAGGTCCACCACTGGGCCCCTCATGGGGCTCGGCAGTGGAACTGCAAGGCCAGCGGCGGCGGCCGGGACCGTTGGGGGCGGGGTGTGTGGCCTTATGACACACTTCCGGTGATGTCAGGGGGTGTGACCTTATGACACACTTCCGGTGATGTCAGGGGGTGTGGCAAATGCTAATGAGTTATGCTAATGAGTTCCTCTAGCTCTTTTTCTATGAAATGACCCCTGATTTGCATTCTATGATTTGGCAGCAGCGATGTTATCAGTGAAGGGAAATGACCGATCCTAAGGGGTAATTCTTCACTGTCGCATATAGACACAGACTGGCCCAGCCCAGGGAACTGAAGGAAGAGAGACAATCACCTTATTATATTCTGCTTCTGAAATGGCACATGAGAGGCTTTTGAAAGTTCATCATAAAATATTTTATTTAACTTAGAGGAGAAAAGTTCAGATGAAATTGGGTAAGATGTATGACGTGAAGTGATAATAAAACTTTGTAAAAAACTGGTTGAGGTCTTGTTATAATCACACTAACTCCAGATGATTTGTTGCCAACAATAAAGTGTTTCTGCTATTCAAAAAGGTCTTTTAAAACCTTGAGGATAGAGGTTTATTTTCATTTTCTGCAGAGGTTTCTAAGTTTCATTGACTCTTAAAGTCGAGAAGGCAGGAACATACAACCAAATTCCCAGAATCCTTCTGTATACACAGACCAGGAATCACACCTTTTTAAAGAGCTATCTCCCTTTTCACTGGGCAGGGATTACTTCTTTTATGTAGAAGCAATTTCCTTTTTCGGCTTGAATGGGGATCCTCTCTGATCCTCTCACTCCTTTTGCTTCCTTCCCAGTCTACAGTCAGTGCTTAACTGTCTCTTCTTCAACTGGCAGTTCCCAACTGTTATTTCTTAACTGATTTCGTTCAGTTCAGTCCAGCTCTTTATTGTTATGGTCATTTGACCAAGCATATAACCAGTTGTACAGTTTACACAATAAACAACATTTATAGAATGAAACATGATCTAATAAAACTTAAACCTGGTTACAATACAATTTCTATAGCCTAAATATCAACACACAGAATTTGGCTACTTGGTACATAATTCTAGAGTTCTCATCACATAAAAAATAATCACACTTTCAGTAAAACCAAGAATCTTACCTAGTAATGGAGTAAGCTGCCTTATAATACGGGTGGGTAAAAAAACATAAGCTCTATGGACTTGATCAGTGTCCCCTCTCAGCTGAGTTAGTGTGAGATAGCTAACAGTTTTTTAGCCTCAGGCTCACACATTTTTGTTTTAGCTCAACAACGATGGCTCCAGAGCAGCCTAATTTATGCCGTAGCCAAATCGCTCGCTCACAACTTTAATGCCAGTAGCTCACAAAGTAGAATATTTGCTCACAAGACTCCACAGCTTAGAGGGAGCACTGGACTCAATCTCTTTTAATGAACATTTTATACCAGAGAGCCAGTTTGGTGTAGTGGTTAGCAGTGTTCCCTCTAAGCTGAGTTAGTGTGAGCTAGCTCACAGTTTTTTAGCCTCCAGCTCACACATTTTTGTCGTAGCTCAAGAAGAATGGCTCCAGAGCAAACTAATTTATGCAGTAGCCAGTTTGCTTGCTCACAACTTTAGTGCCAGTAGCTCACAAAGCATAATTTTTGCTCACAAGACTCCACAGTTTAGCGGGAGCATTGGTGGTTAGGAGTGCAGACTCTAATCTGGGAGAACCGGGTTTGATTCCCCACTCCTCCACTTGCAGCTGCTGGATGACCTTGGGCAAGCCATAGTTCTGTCAGAGCTGTTCTTGAAAAAGACCAGTTCTGGAAAGAGCTCTCTCAGCCCCACCAACCTCACAGGGTGTCTATTGTGAGGAGGGGAAGGAGTTTGTAAACTGCTCTGAGACTCTAGGTGAAGAGCGGGGTATAAATTCAATCTCTTTTCTTCTTCTTCTACCTACCTTCCAATACTGAGGAAGGAAGGGTAGAATTCCTTTCCAAAGTGTATGCCCTTCTGAAATTATTTTCTTCCAGTGAAGTCAGGTAGGCTGCACATTTGTCAGTGTTTTTAAAATTCAAAATCATATTAAGGCTTTGTAAACTGGAAATGTCCAATTGTCGTTCTATATGTCCAATTGTCATTCTATATCTTGAATTCTCTGTTTGACTAGCCTTTTTGCCTGTTTGAATCCACAGGATAGAAGTTCATAACAGGAAAACCCAATTTTATTTATGTAATTTTGTGTATCCTTAAACCAATTAGATTGATAGTTGCCATGGATTATCAAAGGGAATAGGCCTTGGGGATTAAGCTGTCCCTTTAACCACAGGTAGATAGATAAAATACTTACCCTAGCTTCAAATATTATAATACCTGTCTCAGGTCTTATCCAGGCAGTAGGCATGCATCTGGAAACCTTAAGATAGCTCTTAAGAACATTTATTTTAACCTAGAAGAGGATGGCTTTATTTTTTTAGAAAAAGTTCTGCTTCCAAGATGCACATCATTTGACTTTGATTGCAGTCTTTCTTGTGGAACGAAGCAAGAGGTGGGTGGCCCTAGGAATGCTTAACTGACTCTCTCCACAGAATTCTGTTCAAACAACTTGTCACACAAAGATTCTCAGACTCTATCAGCCATTATCCCTTTACAGTTTGTCACACAGGTCCAAATCAAAGTATATGGTTGTAGTTGTGTAACAAAAATAAAATGCATAATCCATTCAGTCCCTATGCTAAAGTGCATCAGGTCTTTGGGATATTAGATGATTACTTTTAGGCTAATTAGAACAGTTTCCTTGTATTACAGGCCAGATTTCTGCAGATAAAACCATGCAACAATATAGTAACAAAATATGGGCTGAAGTTGTAAAAGCACTTGAGTAGTCTTGTTAATAGAGTAGTGAATTATATCAGACCAAATAATTTAAAGTGGCCAACTGTGACAGTTTTTCTCCCTCCCGGGGGTGGGGGTGTTTGGGTTCCTTTTTAAAAACATTTTTATTGCTTTTATAAACTACACACCTATAGGGTTTGGGGATGGGAACAAGCTAAAACTACGAGTAGCAAGAGATCATTAATGCAATTGTTTAAAGTAAGGATAATTCCTTATTGTCAAAGTAATAATGCATGAGAGTTAATACAATAGTTATATAGAAGATTGAGCGAGTATTCACAAACAAATTTGGTTAGAGTGTATGCTTCTTAGTTTAGGGTTATTAGTTCCTGATAATTATCAGACCATTAGAGTTTCATTATTTTACTTATTTCCTTCCTCTACATTTCTTTTCAAAGTCCTTTTTATTTTTTGGGGACTTAGGAGCCGTAGCCCCTAGTTCTGCTTCAAAATCTAAGGATTCAGCCGACGAACAGTTGGTAGAACTTTCCTCAGTTTTGTCTTCTTCTTTTTCTGCATCTTGTCGTCCTCCAGTTTCTCAGATCCATCTTTATCTTGTTGGTGCTCAATAAATTTTTTCACTTTGAAGACTGAGTCAATTTTTTCTTTTTTGCTGTTGAAGTTGAAAGTAAGCCCTTCCGGAGTTAACCATCTGTATGGGGTGTTGTGTTCTTGAAGAAACCGTGCCAGGACTCTGTACTGTCTTCTTCTTTTTCTGATCTCAAATGGAATGTCTTTTAAAATTTTAGTTTGTT